ATTATATAGCCATAAAAAGAACAAGGAGAATTTTTATGTACTGACATGGGCCAATATGCCAGATATATTGTTGAATGTCAAAAAAGAAAATACAGAACAAAATGTATAATATGCTACCAGTTGTGAAAAAAGGAAGAGGAGAGAGTATTTATAACATTGGCTGCCTCCAAGGAGGAGGACTAATTGCTTGGGGGAAGGAGTGAGCAGAGATTACTCACTGTACCTTCTTTTGTACCTTTTGAATCTATTACTTACTTAGTAAATGAATTTATTTAATGAAATATTCAAAGCAATTATTCAGATGCTTAGGTTTTATTCCTGGAGATTTTAGGTAAGTCAGTCGCAGGAAAGGGATTTTCAGAAATCATCCCATGAGACTCTAGTCTAGAGCCTGATGGGTTGTCTTTGGGTTTTGGTGTCATTTTTTCCCCCCTCACAATTTATTTGACAAGAACTTGTAGAAAAATCTCCACCCCACCTCAGCTGAACAAAGAGGTTTGTTCAGACCTTGGTCAAGATATGAAGGCAGGTAAGAGCACCTGGTGATGTCAAGTGGGGCAATGGAGCTTTCTGAGTTCCAACTACTGGCCTGCAGAGATGAGTGAGAGTTGGTCCCCACTCCTGAGTGCTCCTGGTTTGATGGGGAGTGAAATATACACAGCAGTAACCTATTGACCATGGAGGTTTTGCCCTATGAGGTGTTTGAGAAGCTGATCTCTGCTCAGTGTTACTCCATAATACTGACCCCTACACTGACCACAGAGGAAGGTAGGTACCATATTCATCATAGCATTGAGCACAATACTGACCCTGAAGCTTACAAAAATTCAACCAAGACACTGAACGTGACCTTGACCACAGCATGACTTAGTCATAATTTTGATCACAACAAGCCAGGTCACTTTCCAAAGACAGCTCAGGACCATGACCAGGATATTGATTGTGACACCAAGCACAACACAACCAGAAATGACCAGTGGTTACAATACTGAGCACACTGCTTGCTCCAGCAGAACTGGGATGCTGGCTGCAGTGCAGATCATAGTCCAACAGGACACTGAGAGTGCCATACCCATGTCATAACCATGACGCTGCATGTATTGGCCAGGTTCAGTCAGAAAAACAGAGCCATGTCTGGTAGCTCAACAGAAGAAATTTAATATGGGAAATTAGTCACAGAGGTGTGGGTAGGCTTCAAGAGGAAATGGGAGAAGGTGAATTATCTCTAGAGTAACTAGCTGCTACCTTCTTAAGGGCTGGAGGGACAAAGGGAAGAGCTGGTTACCAGAGACCAGGGCTGGGCCACCTGGCAGGAGCTGAATCACGGGGCGGACTGCACAGTGGGGGGGTGAGACCACATTGAAGACACAACAGCCACTGACAGAGACACCTAAAGTGGAGAGAGAAGGGAAGAAATACTCTGGCTTTTCCTTTCCTTCTGCTCTTCAATCTCCCTCCAGGCCTCTCATTGGCTGAACCTAACCAGATGCAATGGAGCCTGGGAAATGTAGTTTGCAAAGATAAAGGGACCCTGGGAAACATAGTTTGAAGGGTCCATCTCCTCTGTTACAGAGCTCTAGGAGTGGAGTGGGTGATAGATTTGAGGACAAATAGGCTCAGATCCAGCATATAGACCAAAGTCGAACCAAACAACACAGACCATAGCTTGACCATGACATTGACCATGTCAATGACCACAGCCCAAGGAGAATACTATTTATGGTCCTGAAACAGAGCTCTACTGGGGACGCTCCTCTGTAGAAAAGGGACATGCGGGATCCTCTCATTCTCTCCCCCACCCCATTGTGACCACAGCTCAAGTTATCACACTGATGGACACTCTTGCTCAAGAGCTTGTGAGTCCTTGCTTGAATTTCTGGCGGTTCTCTGTTGATGTACTGCTGCATCATTTTTTAATTATCTTCAGCAAAATTGTATTTGGGTATAATATTAATAATATTGTTTGATAATCTCCACATTCTGTTGGATCACCTTTCTTTGGTTGGGTACAAATATGGATCTCTTCCAGTCGGTTGGCCAGGTAGCAGTCTTCCAAATTTCTTGGCATAGATGAGCGAGCCCTTCCAGGGTTGCTTCCATTTGTTGAAACATCTCAATTGATATTCCAGCAGTTCCTAGAGCCTTGTTTTTCACCAATGCCCTTAGTGCAGCTTGGACTTCTTTCTTCAATTCCATCATTTCTTGATCCATGCTACTTCTTGAAATGGTTGGACAATGACCATTTCTTTGTGATACAGTGACTCTGTTTTCCTTCTATCTTCTTTTAATGCTTTCTGTGTCGTTCAGTATTTTTCCCATAGATTTCTTCAATAGTGTAACTCAAGGCCTGAATTTCTTTAGTCCTTTCAGTTTGAGAAATGCCAAGCATGATCTTTTCTTTTGGTTTTCTATCTCCAGGTCTTTGCACATTTCATTATATTACTTTACTTTGTCTTCTTGGGCTGTCCTTGGAAATCTTCTGTTCAGCTCTTTTATGTCATCATTTCTTCCTTTTGCTATTCTATGTTTAAGAGCAAGTTTCTCTTTCTCCAGATGCAGTCTATTGGTTTCTGGTGTGTTCCACCTGGCAAGGTCCATGTGTATAGTGGCCTTTTATGTTGTTGAAAAAAGGTATTTTCAAGGAATAAGTCATTAGTCTTGCAAAATTCTACCATGCAATTTCCAGTGTCATTTCGGTCATCAAGGCTATATTTTCCTTTGTCTTTGTGTCTGTCTGATAATTATTGGTTCCAAACACCAATAATTATCAGAGCATCTTGATTATATGTTGGATCAATCTCAGATTGCAGAAGTTTGTAAAACTCTTCAGTTTCTTC